TTGGGTTTGTTCTTGTTTTGTTTTGTTTTTTTTTGGTTGGGGGACTGACTTCTCTTAACATGGCTATAATTTTCCAATTTATGAGCTTAAAGTTAGGTATTTCAGTCCATATTTAAGAAAGAACGGTTACTTACCTCGTAACTGTTGTTCTTTGAGATGTGTTACTCATGTCCATTCTAATTAGGGTGTGTGCGCGCAGCGTGCACGCACTGTCAGAGATTTTTCCCTCAGCAGTAACTGTGGGGCCAGCAGGGAGCCCCCTGGAGTGGTGCCGGTATACCTGCAGATATATACCCGGGCTGGCCCTCTGCCCACTCAGTTCCTTCTAAAAGGCTAAAGCCCTCCTGACATCCAAGGTGTGCAGAGCCTGTTCTTTCCCTGACACATGAGGCTTGGGGTAAAACACTGGTAAGAATTTGTCTTGAGACACATGGAAAGACAACACCGCCTTAGGCAAAAAGGCGGGATGGGGATGGAGTCTGACTTCATCCTTGAAGAAAATCATACGGGGGGATCCGAGGTGAGCACTCTGAGTTAGGACACCCACCTGGCGGATGTGATTGCTACCAGGAGGGATACCTTGTAGGACAGGAACAGGAGGGAACACTTTGCCAGGGGTTCAAACGGAGCCCCCATAAGCTTAGAAAGGACCAGGTTAAGGTCCCACTGAGGAATGGGCTGTCGTACATGTGGGTAAAGTCTATCCCTTGAGGAATCTGTTTACCATGGGATTCGCAAAAAGTCTTTCCCCTATCTCCGGGATGGAAGGTGGAAATGGCCGCCAAATGGACCTTAATGGAGGAAGAGGAGAGTCCCTGAAGCCTAAGATCCAATAGGTAGTCCTGTGGGAAGCCCAGATGTAGAACTGCTTCCACTTGGCCAGGTATGTAGCCCTAGTGGAAGGTTTCCTACTACCTAACAGAACTTCCTGGACCCGAGCCGAACACTGGAACTCGGCCGCTGTCAGCCACGGAGCTTCTACGCTGTCAGGTGCTGTGAGTGCAGGTCCGGGTGACGGAGTTTGCCGGAGTCCTGGGAGATCAAGTCTGGGAGCAGCGGGAGAGTTATGGGTCTCTTGTATGACAGGTTGAGAAGGGTTAAATCAAAGTGGTGGAGGTTGGCTCAGAGGGGCTCCGCTTCCCTATGGTCTCGGAGAGGCCTGGCCAGGAGGTAGCGACTGCCGCTGTCAGGTGCTGTGAGTGCAGGTCCGGGTGACGGAGTTTGCCGGAGTCCTGGGAGATCAAGTCTGGGAGCAGCGGGAGAGTTATGGGTCTCTTGTATGACAGGTTGAGAAGGGTTAAATCAAAGTGGTGGAGGTTGGCTCAGAGGGGCTCCGCTTCCCTATGGTCTCGGAGAGGCCTGGCCAGGAGGTAGCGACTGCCCCGGGGT